GTTTAATATTGTCGATTCCCAGTCACCAGAACTTAAATGCACCAATATAGTATATGAACTAGTACTAAGAATCTTGAAACATTGCCTTCAGTACTTCAAGACTGTGTTGAATCAACAACAGACAAACTTGATGAAGAATATGCAAAGAGAATGATTACTACAACGCCGTTGTTTGTCTTAGTTGTTTATGTAATAAGTATATTAGATTAGGACCTTGTGCCTAAGATAAGACTTTATTATTGGCTGTAAATATTTCTACAGAAGTGACATCATTCTGAATGTACTGTTGAGCTTCATGGTTAATGCTTAAATTGCATTTGTGTTAATGAATCATTCTAAAAATACGTTGTCGAAGGCTTTCATGGCTGGAGTTCATTAGCGGTTGTAGATTTTCCGGGTTGTCTGGCCGTGGTCTCGGCATTGTAGGACCTGACGTTTCGCCAATAGCTGTGACTGGCATCCTCAGAGGTATAACACAGAAAGACAGTACTCTCTATGTCAAGGTGAGAAGAAAAATGGAAAGCAGGTGTGACGACCTCTTATCTGGGGAGGGAGGCCTGGTTTCACTTTAAAAGTGTTCTTTTTATTTGGTTCTATTGGGGATAGCCGGCTGCCACCAGGAAATTTAAGGCTATTCAAACCTGTATACTATACTGTTTCTATTACTGGGTAGGTAGGTTGAGTTTAAGGCTTTTCAAGGTACTAAGTTTCCTGAGGAAGGATTCCTTTCAGCTGGTATGCTTAAATAAAAGTAGATTTATTGAAATACTTCATAAATAAAAAGGTATAACAAAGTAACCGGCAATGTGAATATTCTGATAAATTGTTTGGTGTCTCACACAAGCTCTACTCCCTTCCTCTACAGGGATTTATCAGGTAACTTTGTAACCCTTTAACTCAAGATCATCTACGTTTCTTGTTTCTCTCCAGTCTGTCACTCAGACTTGCATATAATTTCTGTTCTCTTAAACTTTACTTTACTGTTTCATATACATTCAACTTTTTTACATACACAGAACTAACTCCTATATCACACACAAGACTGCTTCTCTCCCAGACTTCAGAACCAACTTATCAACTGTCTTTATCAACTGTCAAACCTGTAACTGTCACTCCTGACAGACAGACATATTCATCCACTCAGAACCACTTCCAAAACCCCTCCCCCTCTCTGTCAATCACCAATCACACCACTCGTCTCTTCAACCACTCTATTCTATCACACAGCCAGGCAACCAAATTTTAAAGAGATACACACACATATATAAAACAAGGAATCATTACAGTCCTCTTTTGGGGTTGGAAAGTTAGGAATAGGGATGGGCACGAACAAGGAAAATCAAGGGTTGTTTTGGTTGGTGGCTCATGGGGCCAGACGAACCACGAACCTTCATTAGCCTTCCCATCTACTGAACCGGTTCATTTCATGAAGCAGTAGAATGGCCCCACTGTGGGCTAGAGAAGCGAAACTTGCAGCGAGCCTCCAGCTGTAAGAAGGACAGGTGGCTCAGAGCCCTGAGTTAGCACCAAACACCCCCAACCCCACTGCTCACACTGAGGAATGACTTCCAGTCATAATTGGATGTGTTGTCCAACCTTTCAGTGTCTTGGAACAAAATACTGTGTCCTGTTTGGGTTAGGCTATGTTCAGCCACTGCTGATTTTTCGGGTTGGCCAAGTCTGCAGTGTCTTTCATGTTCTTTTATTCTTGTCTGAATGCTACACTGTGTGGTCCCGATGTAAACCTGTCCACAACTGCATGGTATGCAGTATACTCCTGCAGAAGTGAGGGTGTCTCTTCTGTCTTTTGCCGATCATAACATCGGTTGTATTTTTCTGGTGGGTCTGAATACTGTTTGTAGGTTGTGTTTTTTCATATGTTTTCCCATCTGATCAGTGATTCCTTTGATACATGGCAAAAACACTTTTCCTGTGGGAGACTGTTTTTCTTCAGTTGTTTGTTTTACCTTTGGTTTAATTGTTCTTCTGAATTCATTCTTGGAGTAGCCCATTTGCTTGAAGTGCATGGTTTAGATGATTTAGTTCATCATTGAGAAAGTGCGGTTCACATATCCATCTTGCACAGTCTACTAATGTTTTGATTATGCCTCTTTTTTGTCGAGGGTGGAGATTGGCGTTTTTGTGTAATGGACTCAGCTTTACCCCACCTTCCTGAGTAAATATAAATTACCTGCCTTCCATTTTCCTTCTCACCTTGACATAGAGAGTACTCTGTCTTTCTGTGTTATATCTATGAGGATGCCAGTCACAGCTACTGGCGAAACCTCAGGTCCTACAATGCCAAGACCACAGCCAGACAACCCAGAAAATCTACAACAGCTAACATTCTAAAAATACTTTAATAATTCACATTTAGCACAATATAAAAACAGAACAAAAACCTGTAAAATTATACACGGTGATTTAGTGTTTTACTTAATTGCAATGGAAAGGGTAAGTCTGCATCAGGAGGCTGCTCGGGGACCTATTGGAGGTGATTTGCGCTCCCCCCTCATGCCCTCCCAGCTCCCCTTTTGCTCTTCCATCAGAGGGGTTGTACAACACTTCCATGTAACACAGCAGTGTGGTTACTGGGGACGCTACCGTTGCAGCACCCAAAGAAAGCAACCCCCCCACACTGTTTTCCTACTGGCCGCCATGTAACTAAACTCTATGGTACCAGACTAGTGGTGCCATAGATCCCCCATGACACAGGCAAACCCCAGGACTGCTCTGCCTATGAAGTTTCCCTGCATGTGAAACATGTATTTTATGAATGTGAATCCTGAATAGCAACTTGCAATGGAGTGTCACTTAAATTAATGCCACTTATTCCAAGTAACTCATCTTTGTCCCCAAACAGCATTAGCCTGATTAGAAATCTTTCACATTATGGCGCTCAAATAATATTTATACTAACTAAGAAACACAAGGCTTGATACTTCTTCATGCCCATGAACAGCCACCACTTCTCAGTGTTTTACTCTTCAAATATCTGCTCATTTTAGTCATCTTTGCAGTACACAAACTCCATGCATTATCATTTACATCTAAACAGAACACTTTCAGAAAAATTAATAAAGTATTATGATGATCATTTCAATCAATATAGCTTCCAAACCAAATCACTATTAATATAACATGTAGTTAATGAAAGTAGAACAGAACAATTTGCAGTGGTAAAAGGCAAACAATCAAGGATGAGTGGTTTATAAATTAAACACATTCCCATTTTCAGATTAAGCTAATTAATCCTTGATTACATCTAAACTACAATTGCAAGAGAAATGTCGATGTACAAATAAACCTGTCCTTAGAAAGAGAAGCTCAAACTGCTGTTCTCATGGGTATACGAATGTTTTGAAGACAGGATTAAGTATTTAAGCCAACAGTCCAGAGACTTTTAAAACAGTCCAGAGACTTTTAAAAGCTTCGATGCAGTTTGCTTTCTCTTGCTTTATTACTGCAAGTAGTCTACACTTGATGCTTGCAGGACACTGTGCACAAGAATTCAGTACAAATAATTCTCCATTATATCGTAGTGTCACATAACTAGAATTTGTACTCAACTTTTAACAGTTACCATGCTGTTTTGGTATGTACCTTTCTAATTAGAAATAAAGCTTACTGATCAATGGTTTTCTAGAGCCTCAATTCGCTATGAAGCTTTACAAATCAGAGTGCCAAATGACTCAGACAGTACTCTCTACAAAAGGAATACTGGACTCTGGGGTAGTCATGACCACTTATGACACGCTAAAATGAGAACCTCTAGTAGTGCTTCTAAATAGCAGAATTCCTGTCTGGACACACCTACAGCTATAGAGCACAGTTCAAAGCCATTCTGGGCTTCACTGCATGTTGGTAAACAGTATTTTTCTAGTCAATTTTATGTCTTCCTAAATATAAATGTTCAATGAAGAAAAGTTTTTACATATAGCACTGCTCTTTGTGAGACAAGGTTACCATTAGGCCAATTCCAAGTATAAACAAGCTATTTTCTTCCTCGATGTTCTGCCAAGGTATGGTCGTTATGGGGGAGGAGGATTATAAATGAAGCTAAAAGAGGATTTGGGTCAAGCCACAACCTTCATTTCAGAGACAATGAGCTGTAAGTGCTTCTTTATGTCTAATAACCGCATGCAACTGAACTACAATGACAGTTTTTCATGTTATTTACCTAATCATTTGCATAGAAGGTGATGCCTGGCAACCAGCGGGAGCTCTGGGGCAGGGACGTGGGTAGGGGGCTGCATCACAGTCTGTATCATGATGTCAATTTCTGGAAACCCAGGAAGTGACATTGGGTAGCTATAGGAATTGTTGGCAACTCTTATGAGTTTACTATAGCGTTTCTACAGTTCCTAGAGCTGCCTGATATCATTTCTGGGTTTTCCCTAGAAACGATATCATGACACAGACACCATCGACATTTTAAAATAATTCTGCTCCTGCCACAACTCAGAGCGCCAGTAGGCAACAAGGCAAGGTGAGTGGCAACTACAGAGTGCGCTTCCTTGGTGGTGCCGCATGGTCTCTGGAATGTCATCTTCCTTTCAAGCTATACTGCTAACACTGAGATGCCAGGCTAAAACATTTGTTTACCCAGGATTTTAAGGGAAGTATTAACACACACATTTAGTTGACTGTTTTCTTCTATTTTATGCCTTGTACCCTATTTGATATTTGAATGACTTGTTCTTAAATTATTTTATACTGCTTTATTAGTTAGTGGTTTTATGATTACAGAGACTGAGATTATTATACCGCTGGTAGAACTAGTGTTACTATACTGTTTTACTGCCTTTGTTTTACTTTTTATCATTAGCCACCTTGAGCAAATCTTTGGAAAAGAAGCATACAAATCTTCTAAAAACAAAACATCTCCAGGGAATCAATGATTAATTGATTAATTAATCTTCTGCAGTGTCCACGGGCATATATACTCTTCTACCTTCAGCTATTATTTAACTACACTACACAACAGCTGATTAACTTACATTATCAAAGCTTCCCACTCAAAGAAATTCTCTTCATTCATAGGCCCTGTTAAAAGATGGAAAGGTATAAATTATTTAAATGGCTTTTGCACTTCAAATATATAGATATGAAAGAATAAATAAAATTCCTTACCAGCTACTATTCCCTCTGGTGGATTCAAGGTCAACTCTAAAATTAAGAATAAATACTATTTTTAGCACACAACATTCACAGTTAGCCAAGACAGTTTTCACTGCCATGGTATTTTTATTGAAACCCATGCATTTTTCATTTAAATGAAAGTCTCTTAACTTACACTTTCTTTCTTCTTCTTTTTAAATCCCCCTAGGGGGAGTTTTTTATTTATTTTTTCAACACTACAAACTATAACTGAAAAAAGGGGGAAGGGAACTACATCTAAGGAGAAAGAAAAGATACCCACTAATAACTAAAAACCCAAGAATAAGAGATCAATACAACCGCTTATATCAATGTTAATCTAACATGCTACTAATACATTGAACATGGTCAGTTATGCTAGTTTATATAACTTTTGGGGCAGAGGGAGAGCCTCGATTCCCAACCTTCTGGCCGGCAAGAGGCTTCTCCCTTAAGCGCCCCCTAGTTCAGAGCCCTTACCCTAGGGCTCCTTAGGATCTCTGCTTACGCGGGGCCCCCCCCCCCAAACTGCGTGTGGGCGATCCGGCTCCGGGAGCGTCCCGAGAGCCGGTCGCCATTCGCGCCGCTGTGGCCGGAAGTCGGCAAAAAAGAGTCTTGACATTAATTGTAGGACTGTCTCATCTGGCAGTATCATAATGAAATAATTTGCATTCTGTATTAATTCTGTATTAATGCTGCAGCCAGATACTTTGCATTTAAGTATGCTCAGACTGGGCCACATTGAGAATTAGATATATGGACAAGTGGGGACCCGCAAGAAACTTGCAGGGAGGGTGCATCCCATTCCCCCCTTCCTTCCCTGCAGAAGTTAGCAGGGAAAAACTGCCAGGAGGAGGGAACAGAATAGTGTGGGGAAGAGGACATGGGGGGGGGGGAATGAGATGCCTCTTGCAAGTCCTTGTGGGCTCATCGCTGTGCAACTGGGCCCAGGCAAGCAGCCAGCACCAGGCAACTGGGCGATAGTTTTCCCAGTAGAGGCTGCCAGGAAGAGGGAAGGAGGGTGGGCAGATAAAGGAAGGCTCACTGGTAGGTGGAAAGGAGAGAAGGAAGCAGCAAATGGGGAGAGGCTATGGGGTTTTCATAGAAGGGAAAGAGGAAATAGTGAGAAAGAAAAAATGAGATGCCCTTTACAAGTCCTTGTGGGTCCCCTCCTTGTAATTCTCTAATAGCTTCATAAACTTTGAGAATTTTTTCCCTTTGAACTCATAATAATGGCTGTATTAGCTGTGAAAAGATAGACAGTGTGAATCTGGGTGTCAATATGCAGCCTTTTTATTACAAGGTAATCCATGCAGCATTTACAAGAGGTACCAAAAATGGGTCCCAAAAATCCTTTTCTCCACCCCCCACCCCGGTGTTTCTGTGACTCCTGGGGCCTGGTATCAGCTTTCCAGGTTGCTCTAGGTAAGAGTGCTTACAAGTGCTTTTGTTGCTGTTTTTAAAAATTTGTTCTTTCCTGGACTTAATTTGTGATGGGTTCCTGGGGTTTTTTTTGTGGCTTCTCTCACATTTAAGATTTAGATTCACACATTTTTACATAGATTGAGATTCTCACATGTTACACTGGTTGGATTTAGCTATAGCCTCAATAGCTTGGGGTTAGATTCTCAGGTTTTACATTTTCCCCTGTTCCCCCCCCCTTCATAGGAAACAAGAGGACAATGAGGGGCATCTTGTTTAGGGGCCTATACAATTGGATCCCATGGTCCAATGCACTTGAAATTTGGGGATTTTTAAAAGGAAAAGCACCAGCAACTTTTCTGTAATTTTGGTGCCAGTATCTCTAAAAACACCTTCCCCAGCCACTCAAAAATATTCTGCATAGGAAATAATGGAGTCATAAAATACTGGAAACCCGGAAAGATAACCTGCATCCAAATACCATACCAGTATTTGGAAGAAAACCACAAATACCAATATTTTCCAGCTCCAATATATCCACACCCAACAAATACTGATTTATTTTTTGCTGTAAACCGATATTTATTTTTAATACCAATAATTGTCACTATAACAGGAAGGAAAGACTTAGATCATGAGCAGTATTCATCATCCAAATTTTCTAAAACAGAATTTTGAGAATGTCAGCTTTCATTGGCAAAAAGTCATCTTCATTACTGCAGAAATAAATGTAAGTATATAAATGTATGATATTATGCAATTTGAATTGAGAAGCATTACATACATAAGCCTAAACGTAACAAGGAGAAAGAGGCAGAAAATTTTAAACAGCTTTAATATGAAAAACAATATTTTGCTTAGTTGATGAAAAATACACGCTTCCTTTCTTTTTACAGTATTTTTAACCTAACCTTTTACAGTATGTATTAACCTAGCCTTGGTCTGCCCTAACCAATTTCTAGATCTCTAGGCGTTTGCTACAAAAAAGCCTCATGTGGCAGGCAAAGACAGGAGGACAGAAAGATGGAAGAAATGAATGCCAGTAAAAAGAAAAGTTTTTGCTCTCTCTAGTGGAGAAGATGCAAATACCAGCATCAAATGATTTAATGCACCTGTCTTGTTACTATCTCTTGAGCTACAGAAAGGTACACAGCTAAGTTTGTAGAGCACAGGTTTTGCACAAATTAAATCTTAGCTTCAATCCCCTGCACTTCAGTTAAATGTTCCCAGGCAGAAGGTTAAAGGTTCCCAGGCAGAATGGCTACCGCCATTCACTGTCTGTAGTACTAAGTAAGATGGACCAATTGTCTGACTCAGTATGAGACAAGTGCATATGTAATCTTTGCATTAACCCACATACTGACACCACACAGTGTTTTTTTCTAATCAAGTTTGGGGTTTAAATAAAATTCTTGTTAGGAGAAACCGCCTAATGGCATTAAATAATGATTTTATTATCTGTGGATATCTTTAAATATATTATGTTACCACAAGGTTACCTTTGGAGGTCTGTGGTTTGCATTTATCTGCATTGTGATATAATTTAATTTCTGCACTGAGTGAACAACTGGAAAACTCTTATAAGCCATAATATTTTATGGGCTATTTGTATCGAGAATAAAAAGAAATCCTAACAGCATTACAAGGAACCGGGGCATGTTTCACATTTCAGCAATACAACCCTACTAAGAACCTGACCTGAAGTGTTAATAGAGTCACAGGCATGTCCAATGTAGGCTTGGTGCTTGGCTCTTTTCAAACACTGTCTGGTTGGTTTTTTTGCACCATTTGCCTTAACATTGAAAGGTCACATGCTGGTAACAGAACATCACTGAAAATGAATAAATTATAAAACTTGGTTATTACCCTTCAGAAGCCCCCACAGCAAAAATCCCCATTTGGGGCCAGTGATACCTTCATTGAAATGAAGTGGTAAAGCTCTTCCTGCACTGTACCACTTCAGAGTGCAGATGGGAAACTACGCATTACAATATTCCCCCATATATAAAAAAAACTCCACTGGGGAAAAAAAACCAAGTAAAAGAGAAGGCCGGACTAGCCAGTTTGGTGTAGTGGTTAAGAGTGCCGACTCTAATCTGGGAGAACCTGGTTTGATTCCCCACTCCTCCACATGCAGCTGCTGGTGAGACCTTGGGTCAGTCACAAGTTTGCTCAGAGCTGTTCTCTCAACAGCAGTCCTCAAAAGAGCTCTCTCAGCCCCACCTACCACACAGGGTGTCCGTTGTGGGGAGAGGAAAGGTAAAGGTTCCCTTGCTCGAAAGCCAGTCGAATCCGACTCTAGGGTTGCGGTGCTCATCTCCGTTTCAAAGCCGAAGAGCCAGCGCTGTCCGAAGACGTTTCCGTGGTCATGTGGCCGGCATGACTAAACACCAAGGCGCACGGAACGCTGTTACCTTCCCACCGAAGTGGTACCTATTTATCTATTTGCAATTTCTTGCTTTCGAACTGTTAGGTTGGCAGGAGCTGGAACTAGAGATGGAAGCTCACTCCATCATGTGGCACCCGGGTCTCGAACTGCTGAACTACTGACCTTCCACAGCCTGCAGTTCAGCGTCTTAACCACTTGAGCCACCACAGCTGGGGAGAGGAAGGGGACTGTAAATGGCTCTGAGACTCCATGTGAAGGGCGGGGTACAAATCCAGTTTCCTCTTCTTAACCAGAGATACTAGCTTTCTTCATACAAAACAAAAAACAAAAAACCACCCTGGCTATAGAAAACCTAGCTGCTTTTCTATTGTTTGTTTAACGAGAAATGGAGTCAGAGTGCGTTGTGAGAGCAGATTATTTTTAAACCTTCATTTCTAGTCTACAAAAGTTAAAAGCCAGCCAACAAATACCAAAGCTATTAATAAATCTCTGGTGAACATCAAAAACCACACTAGAACCCCTTCATACAAAATTCCTAATAAATATTTCCATTTTATACATTCTGTAGAATAACCCTAGTGTGGGTGCCTTCCTGACCTCATCAGGTAGGCCAGTGATGGCGAACCTTTTAGAGGCCGAGTGCCCAAACTGCGACCCAAAACCCACTTATTTATCGCAAAGTGCCAACACGGCAATTTAACCTAAATACTGAGGTTTTACTTTAGAAAAAACAACTCATACATTAATTTAAGATGATCCAAACAAAGTAAGGAAAGCAATCCCAAATCCCACTTTAATGATGGTCTGGGCCTGGCTGGGGCGATGGCACGTGTGCCCACAAAGAGGGCTCTGAGTGCCACCTCTGGCACCCGTGCCATAGGTTTGCCACCACTGAGATAGGCTATTCCGCTAGGTGGGGGCCACCACAGAGAGTGCTTAGGTATTGGCAGCCACAAATCTTACCCATTTGCAAGGGTCACACCTCAAAAGGCCTTGCTCAAACAAGTGAGTGTGACTGACCCAAGGTTACCCAGCAAGCTTCCATGCCATGTGGGGATTCAAACCTGGATCTCCCAGTTAGTACTACTACCAGAGGTCATTTTGGGGGGGATCGCGGGGGATTGCAGTTCCCCCTGGTGAGGTACAGGGGGCGGGGCACATGACGAAGCCCCGCCCCCTGCTTCCAGCCACCCCGCTTCCAGCCCTCATTCAGCCAGGAGGAGGCAGGAAAAGAGGAAAGGTAAGTTGCTTCCTCCCTGCCTCTCCCCACCCCTGCCTGCCTGGGGCCAGGGAGGGCCTTTGCGGGGCTTCCTTGCACTCCCACCGGCCTTGCAGGTCCACCGCCATGGGGCCCGGCAGTGGAGCGGCAAGGCCGGCGGTGGCGGCCGGGACCGTTGGGGGCGGGGTGTGTGGCCTTATGACACACTTCCGGTGATGTCAGGGGGTGTGGCATATGCTAATGAGTTATGCTAATAAGTTCCCCTAGCTCTTTTTCTAGGAAACGACCCCTTACTACAGTTAGTACTACTACACCACTCTCTTTCTCACTCACACACACAAACCCTAAGAAGATACAGGTTCAGATCCCGACTCTGATATGAAGCTTCCCTGGGAGACTTTAGACTGGTCATCTTCGCAGCCTACCGCACTGCACAGAGCTGTTGCAAGAATAAATGGGGGAAGGAGGGGGCAAAACACGCTACTCAATACTTCTCGGAAAAAAGGCTTCCTCTTGTTTTTAATAGAAGGATCTTAATTATTTTTTTTAAACATGGTCTTCGCTAGATTGACGTAACCTTAAGAATTTTTCATGTACGCCACCGCGCGAGCCAGGGAGTTTGCTCGCAGGCGCACAGCGCGAAAGACCCAGCCTTCTCGCAAAACCAACCGAACCCCCGGCTCCTTGCCCGTCCAGATCAGTTCACTTTCTCTTCTCCTCCCACACCTAGAGGGAGACGCCCCAGCGACAACAACTCCTCAGGCCCCCAGCGTCAGGGACTGGCGAGGGGCTTCTTCCACAGCAACGAAGCGCAGCCCGCGCCACGGAGAAGAAACGAAAGGAGTCCAGTAGCCAAGTTGGCTCCAGCTCGGCCAAGAAACCCGCGACACAGCGAAGACCCCAGAAACGGCTTCTGCAGTCGCCGCACCCAGCTGTCCTCACCGCCGCCGGCACTTACGTTTGTACTCTGCCATGAGCCGCTTGAGCGCCGTGCCCGCCATTGCCCAAGCCGTAGGTTGTGTCGTTGCGACCGCAACTCTCGAAGTTGCTTCCGGGTCGGCAGCTATCATAGAGGCGCAAAAAAAGCCTCTCTTGCTTTCTCTGCAACCATAGATAATCTTGCACGAAGCGGCCATCGGATCTGCGACCGAGACTAAGCAGAGGCTCGGCTGCCACACGCACACCCCCCCCCCCTCCCGTCACAGCTCCCCCCCCCGCGGTCATAGAGAGGGCAACAGGTCTACTCAGAAGTAAGCCCCATGTTATTTAATGGGGTATAGACTTTGAAAACAAACATCCTTAGGAGTACATCTAGAAAAAGTATACAGGGACTCGTCCCCTCTGATTAAGGGTGCTTCTTTCCTACGGGAAAAAGCTCCGTCGGCGTGGAATCAGGCTTTCGACGCAAGAGGAGTCTAGTGGTACTTAACAGAGAAGCTAACGTTTAATTTCAGGATAAACTTGCATAGACGAGACTAGAGCCCGTGGCTTCAGAGGCGAGAGCTCACACATTCTTGATCACCGTAGAAAAGGGGAAGACAGAAACTACAGCAGAGAATAATGTGGTTTTCCCCCTCCCGTGCCCCTCTTAGAGAAGTACCTGTACAATTCCAAATCCTTCCTGATTCTGTTTTATGTATTTTATAAAATACCTAGGCCTTCTCCAAAAGAAAAAAATAGAAATGACAATGGGGTTTTTTACTCTTCAGAAGCTGAGTAGCCACCACATACGCAACAGCACAAGTAGCTCCTGTAAGGAATTGCCTGCAGTTTTTTAATCCAACACCCATATTTAACTAGAACACAAAACATGTTTATTTTTCCTTACAGAATATCTTTTCTCCTGTTAAAAAATTTATTCTGCTGGCGTAATCCAATCCAATAAAGACACAAACTGTTTATTGAAGCCTAAAAGCTCTGTTCCTGCTGTAGATTTTTAAATGCTTTTCAAGAATCATGCATCTTATAATGCATACATGCACATCTGCTCTTCATTTTAAGCACGTGCTCCATAAATCTCAATTGCTGTATACAGAGAGCCAGTTTGAGCTAGTGATTAGGATGCTGTAGCTGTAAACCTTTTTATTCCTCCCTTTTCTCAATTTCTTTATGTACAATGAAAATATTTAAAAGAAAATCTTTACTAAAAGGCAACTTTACTTGCTTTAGCGCTAATAGTTTTTGCTATAAATGTACTAAACCATTATTTCTTTTTATGTTGCCTAAATCAACAGTTATGTCAGATAGTTCTGCAACAACTGAAGACTGCAGGATTCCCAATAGTTTTTTGAGATTTCTGTATTACAGTTGACGGCATCTCTTCCCACCTGTGTATATCCAATACGGTACACACTAACACAGAAGTCTGTAACAGCACAAGAAAGGACAGTGCCACTTGTTACCATATAGCAACAAATGTCAGGCCTACCTTTGACAACCAACTACAATAGAAACACTTTTTGGTATATCAGAACTTTCAGGATGTTGAGCGTACTTTTCTTTGCATAGGAGATTTGAGTGCTATTACCTTCTGGCGTTTCAAAAGTTTCTACTAAAGCATCATTATATCAATTTTTGAAAGCACATATATGCGACTTAGAGCAAAAGCAGTGGAGGCAAGCCCAGAAAATACATATGAAAACAGTGTACACATCACTTCTTCCCACATATTCTTTGAACTGTTTCTCATAGCAGTAACATATGTCTCTTGTTTTTTCCTACAGCACTGATTACAAAAAGGGCCTTACTCTTTCATACACATCTGGAGGTACTCTACTATGCAAAAAATGCTTCATTTTATTGTAGCTATTTAGAGCACAGAAGTGAAATAGCTAGCGAACATACAGTCACCAATTATTAAATGCAGAACAAGCATCCTGAAAATATGTTTATACCCTGAACAGTACTTCACTCTCAATAAAAGAATTTTAATAAAGATGTACATATGAATATGTTGTCAGCATTTCAGTGATATAGCTTTGAGTACAGTCATATGAAATGCAGCAGCATTAAGCATAAGCCAAGAGACAGAGTACCAAACTATATTTACTGTATACAGTAGTAAAGGACCACAAATATAGTACAAATTGGTGAATAAACAATGACAGATTTAAGAAAACATCTCTCCCTAGCCCAGATACAATCAAACGAGAAAATACTTTTCCAGCAGAATGTCCTGCAAGTAGGTGATCTAACATGGGCAGGTAGATTTAAAAGGCAGAAAAGTGACCCTTCTGAAGCAGCAGTGAATAACCTATTGAAAGTCAACAGAATGATCTTATGTCATTTAAAGCATATCCAAAATAGTCAGAAGCTGGCTGTCACAAGATTGCATTTGAAACTTTAAAACTTTTCAGAAAGCTACATTATTCATGTTTGGTGTTCAAGAATGTCTCAGTGGTAAATCTACATATTTGAACTTGAAAGTCCTTTTAGAACCTCCAAATCCAAGCAAACTATGTGTAAATAGAAAACAATTCTGCACTACAGATTGTATACGCATGTACGTCACACAATCCCTTATCTCCCACATCAGCTACTTCTCCTACCACTGCATCGCAAATCTGGAGGGGATCCTCTTCACCCTTAGAAAGGGTGTGTGGGAGGGAATGAAGAGCTGCAGTTTGAGGGTGGGGCCAGAAAAACCCTGTGCACACAAACAGTATGCACAACCTTCTGAATCCCAGTTCATGTTCTTTAATGTAACAAATAAGGGTGGGGGAAAAACCTACAAGTTCAGATTTCAAAACAGATAGTGGAAATAAAGTACACATTTTTATTAATAACCCAATAAATCAGTAATAAGAAGTCATTGGGAACTAGCCACGAATAATCTGTCCTGCATAAATTCCATTAAAATGAACAAGACTTGCACAGCAGACCTTCCAAGTGAGTTATGGTCCATTCTTTAAACATTTTACCAAATACACTGGTGCTTAGCCCTGGGTAGGTGATAGTTAACAAATGCCAAGTGCTACAGCTGCTGACAAACTGAAGACATTCCATTACTTTAAAAAAAATTGATTGATTCTATGCTATTTTATTATGAAAAAGCACATGTACATTTGCATTACTGTAAACTGCCACTATAATCAGCAATGTGTCTGCAAGTACTGTCCTTTCCGCATATCCCATTAGCAGCTTTAAAATAACTGCATTTAATGGTAAAACCCTTTTCTTCTTTCATAAGCCACATTTTCTGAGAAGAAATTTACTAGTTTAAGGAAAAAATATTTCAATATTTACATTACCATAATCAAGCTGTAAAACAAAAACAACAAAAGCCAGACTAAAGACTTCTTGTTTTACAGTAGGTGGGTATTCAGGCCACAGATTTATAAGAACAAGATGACAGTAGACAACAGCCAGTATTTTACTTATCTGAAAATTTAATTTTGACTGGGCCCGTTTTATGATGCACTTATTTTCCACAGACAGAGCTTCGACTTGCACACGCAGTATATCAGGGACAGGAAAAGAATTTGGGTAAGTGTCCTCAGAACGTGAGAAGATTCCTGTATGATTGGCATGTTCATTTGTTTACTATTTAATAGCAAATCCAAGGACAGATGATAAAGTGAGTGACATTTTACATTCCTCTTCCCCCAAGGACAGGATGTCTACCACATGCCACCCGTCTGCTGCTGAAATACATCAATAGTATCTTCATCTTCCATCTCCAACTGTAACAGTGGGAAAAAAGTGATGAGTATTGAAAATTCCTTGTTGACAAAGAAGGGTTAAAATTGCCATATATAAATAAATAGAATATAAATGGCCAAATATAAATAGAAATCTATAAAATCCTACAATCTAATATATATATATATATAAATAGAAATCCTTATAAAATTTACTGTCTCTTTCAGAAGCTCCCTGTGTAGAAGTCAGTCAACATTTAATATTTATTCACCGCTCCAGTTTTCTTCTTCACCACACTGTTCTTCCATTTTAATTGCTGTAAAGCTTTCAGAGTATCCATACCTCACAGATTCAAGCAGGGTTACAACATTTCAAAATCAATCTGCAGCTTCTACACTTTAGACCATGTTCAGTTGGATCCTACAAAGAGGAGTTCACAAAACAGATCTTCCCACTTTTCTCTCTTATGACTTCCTACCCCCTCCTCACAGCTACTCTTGGTGATTAAAAGACCCTCATGAAAAAAATGGAATGCAGTATGGGAGATTTCAACTTGTTATCACAGGAGCAAGAGACAGCTTCACATACATGGCATTTACATGCGCACCCCAAATCCCAGGGTATGGGGTCTGAGACTCTGTTTTTGTTGTTGTTGTTCAGTCGCACAGTCGAGTCCAACTCTATTTTTACTCAACCACAAACTTAGAACAAGTGGAGTCAAAGGAGAAGACAGAGGGAGAGAGTAACTGGATTTTAATCTTTACTGAACATATGAAATAACAGAAAATAATATAAAATAAATAATATAAAAGATCAGAAAAAGCAATGAAGAGTAGGGAATTAAAAAAGTAATGCAACATACTTGATTTGGGGAATAGACTCTGCTACAACTAGCTAGATAAAATGCAATATCATAAGACATTTGGTAACTATGCAATCAATAAGCAAAGGAAATAATTCCTAGTAGCAGTTCCTTTTTAATCTAGATGTTTTCTCTCATGTCTAAACCCTTTCCTGGACGAATGTAAGGGGGGGGGGAGCAGAGGTAGATGGAAGAACAGAATACAGTATCAAGGTTTGCTCTGAGCAAAACTTGAAAGGGAAGATAGCTGGAACAGAACCCAGGGAAGGTGAAGAGAAGAGGAAGCATTTTAAGTTAAAAAAGCAGTTGCTTTGTCTCCCATCTTTAAGTGGTGGAAAATTAAACCTAATTTGCTGGCTGAAAGATGCCCTCCACACACCCTTTTTACCTGAGCACTTACTATTTGGAACAAATGTACTTGGCTGCAAGTTTGGATCCATTCTGGTATATGGTCAAATTCTATGTTTCATTCTGTCATTGGGGAATTTGGGGTTATTCAAGGTTACTCCGTGACTGGGAGGGGGGCAGTCAGGATCTGAGCTGTCTCTGGAAGAGTTTATTTTTCTTTGTGGAAGCTGCTAATAGGGGATGTGTCCAGGTGACAGATGACGAGCTAGTGGTTAAAGTATCAGACTAACATCTGTGAGATCCAGAGTTCAAATCTCCACTGTTATGGAAGTTTGCTGGATGTTTGGAGCCAAAATAAAACATAAGTCTAGTGGCACCTGAAAGATTAACACTATTTATTTCAGCACAGGTTTTCATGCCTCAGAGCTTCAGATATATGAAGAGGAAATCATGTTGGGAATCCTTATCGGGGGAAACTGCAAGGGGGGCTGAAGTAGAGAGAGGCTTCATGTGAATCTTGTCACAAATCTTTCAAGTGTGACTCTCTGTGTAAAGAACTGGAATGGATTTGTACCTACACATAATGGATGAGATGTCAGAGGTTCCAAATAAACAAAGTAGCAAAGTAGGGTAAATACAACTATTTAGGAAGAATCAGTCCAAAGCAGGGGTGTCAAACAAGGCCCAGGGGCAACTGGTGGGAGGGAGGGAATGGAAGACTGCTCGAGGGGAGTGGGTGGAGCCACTCTGACTGTAGCTTCAGGATGGCGGAACAACCTTGTCTGCAGCAGTCAAACAGCATGGGAGCATCTGCCCAGTGCTACACTGCTGGCTCTCCAGTCTGCCCACATGGGTTTTCCTTTGCACCCCTTCCCAGCCAATGGGGATTTGCAGTGAGGACACACCAACTTGGCTGCTGTCCTTTACACAGTTTCTATCACAGGTACCTGGTGTTACATTTTATGGCACACTTGGCCCGGCACAACAAAGGAACATTTATGTCAGATCCGGCCTTCATAACAAATCAGTTCAACACCTCTGGTCTAAAGTTGTGTTATGTTCAGTCAAGTCACTTCCGACTTATGGTGACCTTATGAATTACTGACCTCCAAAACATCTTATCACTGACAGCCTTGGTCTGGTCTTGCAAACTGAAGGCCATAGCTTACTTTATGGAGTCAATCCAAGACCAGCAAATTAAAAGTTTCTACACAGTGGGTCCTATAGAGTTATTAGAAATATAAAGAAATCCAAATCTGTTTAAACCAGGATGACAGGTAGTGTTTAGTTCAGGGCTGTCAAACATGCCCTGGGGGGCTCCTATCCGGCCCACCAAGAACTGGCTGCTTCCTCCTTCCTGTTTCTTGTGTCACAGCTCCTTTCCCCCAGTCTCTGCTATTTCCTGCTTGGGAGAAAGAAAGCTCTCCTTTGACTGGCTGAGGGCTCCTCCCCCTCCTCCTCTGGGGGAGGGAGGGA